TTAGCGTTTTGAATTCTTTACATCGAGTTTGGTCTAGTCCACTTTGTTGCCTTTCACGTGTTTCTAACAATTTTAAAGTTCAAATTACAGGAAAATCAGATAATACTTTTAAAATACTTGAATCACTTCCAAAATAAGGCCGAGAGGAGATGAAGCAAGCAAGAAATTGCAAAGGTTGTGAGAATTAACATATGTCACTCAGTCAGGCACTACACGAACTCTTCGACGACATGTGGGCACACTGATATTGTATTGCTAGCTGAAAAGGAAGCTGTTCATTGTAATAGAAGACTATTTTATAGCGCAAAAATCTCAGCGACAGGTATAAATCAACATTCTTTGAGGAATTTGAGAGCGAACGCAAACTTCCGCATTGGATCACCTGATTTAGTGTATTCGCAATTTCAATGACCACATAGTCGTAGAAGGCTACGAATGAGAGAAATAATGACTTTGTAATCTGAGCGTGCTGTGCTATTACAGCAGTAGAATCGGTAGCTTCAAAAACATCAAACAGCGACCACCAACAAGTCAACAATGGGACAACATCATTCCGCAAAACAAGCACATTTGATCATGGACATTGTCAATCAAATATGTGATGGTTGAATAAACTATTCAGTAAACATCCGTAAGCCAAGTCAAGATGTTTCTCATTCAGTTACCTGCATACAAGTAAACGAGCGGTACTAAGGACTGTTACAGATGTGTTAAACTGTTCTTAAACCAGCCGTTTTTACTTCGAATGTATCCTAGATGGGCAACATGATAGTATTTTTCTTTACCTTCAAGCATGTATCCGTATACGTAGACAAATAATTGCTCTATTCCATCTGGGCATCGAAATCGTGCGCAAGATGACACTAATCAAGGATTAGTCCACTAATAATCGTTAAGGTATTGCGTGATTCCATTCAGAGATTACTTTCGGGATCAAAGTAACCATTTTTGCTTCCTAGAAAAGATCATGCTATGCTCGCGTTTTTGGGATAATGTTGGCCATAGCAAAATCAAGGCATCATTAAAAAGATATCATGACTGATAATTATTTTTAGTGATCATTACAATGCTACTTTCAAATCTCAAACAATGGACCCCGTTCGCAATGTGAGGTTAACGATACGAGGTAGTAGTTGAGGTAAGTGGCGAAAACTTCACAAGCATAGAACGTCATTTACTTCTGCCTAACATCTGCCAGTAGTATCCGTTACGACTGTCATAATAATGTACATGGCTAGCACAGGTGGTGAAAAGCAGGAAAGCGTTTGTTTTTCAAGCTTTGTTGACCATTCAGGACAGATGTTAGATGCAGTAATCGCAGCGGATACAAGGCTATCAAGTTGCAAGACAAAAAACGTTGTCTTTACGAGTCCGTAGCTGTTTTCAAGGTAATGCTTAAATGGAATATGTATTACAAGACATGATTGCTTCCCTAGTATCCGCAAAGAAACCGTTCCCAACTCTTGGAATGAATAAATTGCAATGGAAATCCCTCTTATTTTATTGTTAGAAAAGACAATTCTTGTAGCAAACAAGCTAGAAAAAAAGGTCATTGTCCACGGTCCCAGAAAACAATTTCAGATTCAGTCCCTTTACCAAATCGCAACCATCTGCTCCAAGTAACGCCAGAAACATAAGAGTTCTTGCCAGCTATAGAAGATGAGCAAAACCACATCAATTCTATCAAACCACCTTCTCTGGATGTCACAGTTCCAGCCAACATCAAATGAACATAAAATAAAGAAACATAGCGATTGTTACCCTTACATGACCCACTATATTTGATATCCTAAACACAGATCAACTCTTCTAACTGTAAATATGCTGCGAACGGTGATGAAGGGCTTCAAAAGGAGTTTAAAGCCTGGAAGAAGCATAAATATAGACACTAAATCACATATTTGCTCTTATTGACTCTATGAGTCAACAGCAATACATGGGAAATTGGAGTGAGGTTGCTTTTTACAATGTGGAAAGCATAGAAAAGCTTTAGAACTGGTTTCAGTGGGAGTAAAATTTAACGTCAAAGAAAGCAATAAGATATCAAACAGCAAACAACATCGCATCCTCCAAAAAGTTTCCTAATATGCTAAATTTATTCAACGTGCTGTCTACACTTATTCTTAACAGCCTCAGCAATTCGAAATTCAAGCCCTCCTGGAAGGAGCCTTGGCACACATACGCTCTACAAACATTAGGAAAAGAAGGTGACAACTTCAAAATGGAGCAAAAAAGTTGGATGGGAAGTAATAAGAACTCCTTTGTGCGCAAGTTGGGGATGGCATAGCAGTGGTTCGCAGAACAGCCGTCTAGCTGATCTATCATCTTGATGTGCGGCCCAAACCATCGCGCGGTAAAGTCAAACAGAAAATAAATGCTTTACTGCAAAGCTTACTAGCATTTCCATAAACAGCATGCACTACTGTCACATCTAGTCTATCTTATGCAATGTCGAGGATGGGCATACAGCTGTTGAATAATCTACAATACTTCTCACTTATAGTGTTATCATGATTGAAGCAGTGCTAAGCAGTATAGCCAAATATGATCAGCGTGAATCTACATAGAATCTTCTTTTAGCTTTTAGAGATCATTCTACGAGTGGATATTACTTTGGCATGTTCTCTCTCAATAGTATTTTTGAGCTCTGTTTAGAATGTATAATGCAACATCCACATGCATCTTGGTAATGCTGAGTTAAAATTAAGAAGTACGAGCGTTCAAAAAAACTAAAGCGAAAGGAAAAAATGTAAGCAATAGCTGGAAGAGAACCACTAATCTATGAAAATCCATCATGGCAGAACAGAACAACTGTTGCAATGTATAAACTGTGAATCGTCTACGAAATCCAGATTACATCACCCCGTTCACGTCATAAAATCTGCAGAAGTGCGCGATCCGGGCAATTTCACCGAGCATTTACGACTTGCTGGAGCCTAGGAAGACGACCGCACGACCTCGGCCATAGCGATTACATCGGTTTTCAAATAACAATAAGATCCTCATCGTATACCCATCCACCTTCACTTTCGCAAAGAGAATGAACATTCCTGAATAGTATAGGGCTTTCATGTTCATAGGATTCTTGAGTAAATGAAGACGAATCTCATTTGAGATCAAAGACTCTCCATCTGCAGGAAAATGCTATGATAATTTATATTCAGCTGATTTGTCTATAATTCTGACACAGTAACTCTGAGTACTTTCCAAAACGCAGAGCAGTTAAAGGCAGCGTCCGGGCGAAATTTTGCCTCTCATGTTTTTGTCGCTCTAGGGCCTTTCCGTGGCCCTAGTTATAGCTGTAAAGTTCAAATTGTCCAAAACCCTCAGAAAACCCGATTCCTGGGTACCTTGTTTTAAGGACGCGGACGAGTTTCGGATTGTTAATCTCCCCGGCTCGCCACTGAGGAGGAGCTGCAACTGCATAGGTGCAGTTGCAATCCATGATCGATCGATGCGTGAGCACACGTCCTCAGAGGTGGTTTGTGATACGAAGGGGCGGATTGTGATACGTATCACAGGCCCGTATCTCCTTTTAGAAACCACGTCAGAGGATCGGACTAACGCAGACCGGATGCTCATGGGTCCCTCTTTACAACTATGTGCTCATCTGGGTAGATGGACCTTGCCCAGACGCTGCCTTTAAGGATTGACTACATCTACAATGGCAACGTCCTCGACAATAGAATAACGGTAAAGCTGTCATCTTACAGGTTTGGCCGTAAAATTAAGCAACGAAAAGCTATAGGCTGTATCAGCCGGCATCGGTCCCGCGCCAGCATGCTTTGCGACGACGCATTGTCGCATGCGACGTGCCTTAACGCGTGGCAGAGTTCGCACGCGTCACATCGCATCGTCTCAAGTCGCCGCAGGCGCGACGTCGCATGACCGATGCTGGTTGGTACAGCCTATAGGTAACCATAATCCCACGATTATAGTTGTTTTGGCGATTATGACAGCTTTAAAACATTTTCATTCTTTCTTCATTCTTTTCATTTTCATTCTTATAGCTGATCGAAAGATACACATCACCCTGTTATTACTGGAAATTTGCACTTCGAGAGCTCATATCGGCATTTTCACTAGTCCAACAACTTTGAATTTCATAGCTGAAGTGCCAAACCAGGTGGTGAACGCTATAAATGATCTAATGGTGAATTGCTTACTCGTTATCGTATCCATGTACCCTCCCCCCCCCCCCCCCCCCTCCTTCTTACAATAACAAGTCCCAGCATTGATAGCTCAAATCTATCATAAATTAGTGCTATCGCTATAACGAGAAGCAGTCTGAACATCAATCCTGTAGCACATACATATGTGAATTGACCAGGTCCTTTTTACACAAGTGTAGACGAATATTCGTTACGATCATAGGTACACAAAAATACACATACAGGGACTTTGAGCATTATTTGAGGTCATCTCTTGATTTTTCAGCTTGAGTAAAAACTTTCTTTTGGCAAGGCTTGGTTATTGTTTGAATTTGCAGGGAATATTCTATTAGATGACTGTCAGAACCATAGTTTGTGATTTAAAGCGATGTTGAAGTCAAAATCTGAGCTCATAATAATACCGACAAAATCTTTGGTGGAACCAATTGGGTGGCAGAACAATTTATTCAGAAAATGAGACGAGCAACGATGGCAACATTAGATCCATAACAAAAACTTGCTGTAGTAAGAGAAGCTACGATGTTTACAGTAAAAAAGCTATATTTAAATAGTAATAGTTCTAGAAAGAGAACACATAGTCAGAGTGTGCAAGCCATACTAAAGTCATACACTTCGGTTACCAATACATCTAAAGGCAATTGTGAAGTCTTTTGATGATCCTATCACAAACCCCCCTAGGGGAAGAACATGCTAACGAAAGGTCTGTAGCTACATTCCTGATGGATTTATAGGGTCCAATTTGCAGCAACTACAACCCAAATTTGAGAACTCGCCAAAACAGAAAGTTACATCGTAATTGTTAATCGACTACTTGTTTCGTAAAGCTGACTAGAAAGAAAAACAAGCAGCGATAATGTAAATGTATGTTGCCTTTGGATTAGGGAACTTCGAAGAATAGTGATTACCTGCGATATTCAGATGGAAGAGAGCTTAAATCAAAAAGAACAAAACAAAAAATGAACTCTGTAAAATAAAAAATGAACTCTATCTTGGAAATAAGAATTATTTTGGTATTCCAACAAAGTCATTTTCTCGTTAATATAAGGCATGTAGATCATTCTCAAAATCCACGCTTGATATTTACCTCCTCCGTTCCCCCATCCCTCCTGCGCTCGATTCGCACCCTCTACAAACACACGGTGGTTTTTGTAAAGTTTTTTGCATGTTCCTACTATAATAATTCTTTGAAGATAAAAACCACTCAAGATATTAGGTACAAACTCTGAGCGTTTATATGTTGAAAAATTAAGCGAAAATCTATTGGAACCAGATAATTTCACAATGAGCATTGCATCCTTTCCCTTCCCCTCAAATCTCTGACTCCGACGCGACCAGGAGACTGAGTCCATGCAATTTTGAGTACCGTAAGTCCTAGAAATGATCGTTGGCACACGCAACAGAAGATGGCTGTCTCCAAGTTATTGAACCATAAAATACAAATTCAATCTTCTTTTATTCAGGAAACATTGGTTTGTTAGTCGTTGGTTCGGCAAATCGCATTATTGCGGCATTAAAGCTGAAATACTAGCACGTGCAGGTGGATAATAAGCATTTCAAATTTTCCTTCATCTCAAATATCCTCTACACTCTACCCTCGAGACTTGTAAAAACAGCACATTTCTCCAAAGAACACCTTTGTTGAGAAGACTTGATAATCTAGGTAGCGAGTTGTTGGGAAAAAGTAACCCTGGTATCATGAACTTCGGGGAAAATGGGAGAGACAGTAATAAATTAAAGATGTTAATTTATATTATTGCTAGATCGAGATAGACGAATGTGATATTGGCTTCACGTAGACTGGCAGTTGAATTTCAAAGTTTCACAATGGTGGTTAAAATTTTTTAGGGAAGGATTGCTGAAAAAGTTGAGCCAGGATAAAGCTGCTATGTTTGAGAGAAATGGTGAAACCTCTACCCATTTTGGCAAAACGTTTCTTCGCGACAACATTTTAGAGATGCATAAGCGTACAGCTGTATCTATGACTTTAGCAAAATGTATTACTAGCAGAATATTGCAAGGAAATTTGTACAGGTCAAACAATTAGTATCATAAAATGATATCTGAACAATGGGCTTTACAGACTGTCGGAAGGCCATGGCGAGTCGGGATTAGCCGTAGAGGTACTTGAATTAAACGGACTCATAATTCATTAACTGCGCGAAACCCGAACTATTCCAAAGAAAGGAATAGAGCTGTACTCGGGAGAAATCACAATAGGTGCTATTTGAAGGAAATCTAGCTTCCAAAAGGCTCTTAAAATTAACAGCCAAGCGCTCGAAAAACGAAATCTCCGAAGAAAACGAGATTTACGAGCGTTTTTTAGTTGCTGACGAGAACAGCGGACATATGTTGTCTGAGATACGATCTGTCAGCCGAATTTGCAAGCGAGTTGCTAGGAAATAAACTCTCTCGAGTGTAGACCGCATGAAGAAAGTGAGAGAAAGCACGAAAAGTTGATGTGAAAAAGTGTAAAATGATAGCACCTGAACCTAGCTTGAGTGACAGTTTTGAAGTTGACGAGTTCAACACTGCTAATTTTGTTTGAGTTTGAAAGATTGCTCAAACAAGACCCTCTCATTACTTCTGATTTTACCAAGCAACTCTCAAAGATAATCAATAAGTAAAAAAACTTGGCACATATTTTTTGTAGTAAAAATGAACACCTAGAGATTCGTTAAAATAAAATATATGGGTAGGCAATCGTTTATCGAAAAACGAAATCTATTTGGGCTACACTAAAACTGCTACTGAAACTTCCAAATTTCTTGAAACTTGATAAATACTTTGTTTTGGTTTTGTTCAACAATGACCTCCTATGTCCCTTGAGAAGTTACAAAAATGAAAATTTTCTGCACAACACAGAAATCTTTCTCTGAACAGCGTATTACTTCAGGGCATACCAACTGTAGTGTAAAACCATAAAAGACTAATATAATGCAAATAGCAACTGATAATGAATATGTAGGTGCCAATTTATACTCTGCTCGCGGTTCGTGTGAATTTGGTGCATTGGTGCTTTTTCTTTTTATTTGTACAGCGCCGACAATGATGTCATGTGTCTCAACACAGTGCTTTTTCTTAGTCTTTGAACATGTATGAATAGAGGAAAATGCCAGAGCTTCTCCTAAAATAGGCAGTGGGCAGAATGATCATTTGAATTCTAAATACATAAAGATGCATAAAGACATTTTTGGATTGAATGGACTTCTTAAAAAGCTGTGGTGAACATGAATCTTTCGAAGAAGCGATGACGATCAGAAATTTGATTTTGGTGTGCTTCCGGATAAAGAATTTAAGAGATGAAAACCAATTGGCACGACTACCATTGTTAGGAGATCTCTTTGGAGGATCCTAGTTTAACTTTAGGCAAGACTATGAATACAAAAAGTTTCCACCGGAACGCAAATTAAAAATAATTAGTTTGAAACCCTCGACACGGGGACCTTTCTTCAAATTCAAGAGAAAATCACATTGCTGCTTCAAATACTTTCCTTTATCACATTTTTTAGCTATTTTACAATTAGCTCTTGAAAACTGAACGTTCAACAAAACCCGATAATAGGAAGAAAAGCATGTAGGTAAAAGAACTCTTTTTACAAGTTTTAAAAAAATGGAAAAAGCTGAAGGTAGCTGTTGTCGTTTCGCAAGGTTTTTTTGACTTTTTAAGCTCCTGCAGCAATAAATTAAATATGCATTTGATGATATTCGAGAGTAAGTGGGACACCTAATGGTTTGCTTTGATGTTTTACCCAGTTTCGTTGTAATCTACGCTAATCTTGACTGCAATTTTGAATGTATTATATTTTATGGTTTTCGGAAGCAATGGAGCGTAGCTGAACGACCAGGCCGAAGTGCGAAAGTCGAAATGGTTCAGTTTGAAATATTTTAAAAATTCATTTACCCTAGACCTGCAGAGATAACGGTTTAAGTACAACTTAAAAAATCAAGCAATAATTTGGCTACCTTACGGAAAGAGAGAAGGTTACTAAATAGTTGTTAATAACAGCTTGAGTTGAAAATTATGTAAGTAATGTGTTTTGTTTTGCAAAAAAAACGAGATTCAAAATCTCAAACATGATTAAACGTGGAAAATGTTTTTAACCCCCCCCCTCCAAAAAAATTCTGAAGTCTAGCATTGTTTCAAACAAAAGCATCTACCGGAAAAATTAGTCGCCCCGCAATTCGACATGGCATCGAGAGCGAAGTATAATCAATCAGGCAATCCATTATGCAAATGACTGGTATTTACGACGACTCCATGTCGGAAATGGCGAAATTTCACGGGAAGGAAAAACAACATCGACCGCCTGAGAGTACAAGCTCCACATTCTTGCAGGGACTATTAAGTTTACAGCAGCAATTTGGCTACGACAATGAGTTCCGAACAGACTAAGAAATTTACGAGAGCATTTTCGCATAAGGTGGCATTGACTAGGTTGGCGGACTATTTCCGTCCTTTCACTTTTTTTCGGCATAACTAGTAGACAACGTTCACAAAAGTGTTTTGAAATTATTAGTTTGAACTGAACTTTATAATGCACATAGAAGTTCCATAAGTTGAATTTTCATTTTTTTCGCCCGTCGCTTTTTAGACCCCAAACATTTTCGGTGTCATAGGAGGAGTGCCGATTTGTATTCCATAGAAAATATAGAAGAAAAAAGGCACAAGAGAGGAGGCAAAAAGAAAAATTCTAAGTTAAAAAATGTCGTAAGCCGATTGTCTACGAATGCATTTGCGGCACTAATAGTTGTTTGACCCTGTCTGCCCCTAAGCGTGGAACAAATCAAAATCTGCTGGAATTTTTCAGACTCAAAATCGTGTAACAAAGACACTCGCCAACTTGATATACATATGCTTGAGATGCAAAATCGCTAGTGGAATATAATATCAGTGAGAATGCGCACTTATTCCTATTAACGAAAGATTGCACCTCCCATGACCTAAAGATTAAATTCGGCTTCTAATCAAGACTCATTACTCGATTTGTCTTTTAGATATAAGTCGCTGAAAGTGATGCTAATCTAATTTCTCAGTCTCCTGCAAAGGATGAAGCACTGCGCTAAGACATGCTGAGATGTATGGGCAAAATCGTGCAAGACTGAAAGACTACGACAATATGAACTTTTTTCTGCTAATATTAGATCATTCCAAGGGTAGATTACAGCAAATACCGTAGCAAATAAAGCGAGCAAGATCAGAAAACCATTTCTGAGCGTTTTTGAATGAGCTCGCATCGTTGGGCTACGCTAAATAAGAATTTGACTCAGACCCTCTCGAAAAGAACAGAAATTTTTTCGCTTCGATGTTCAATAAACCTAACAATTTCGTTGAGCTGGGAGAGATGCTTTGTATATGAATCTCTAAAAATTTTGGTACGCGCATTATGTAACAAACCAAGCATTTCTAACCACAAGTGGAAATTTCACAGGAATCGAAATAAATACACACCAAAAACATCATCAGCTCCGATTATATGCGAACGTTTCTCTCACGCGGATGCCTTTCGAACATATGTACATACAAGCTCAAAAAGACTAGGGTCTAGTTGGTCATGGTAGCGCTGTGGGAGTGGATCACTACTGCTTAACAATCCCAGCAAAAACTGAGAACATTGTGAAGCCTGTACAACTGAACATTATGCGGTTCAGCAGCTATAGTCGTTCAAACGGCAACCGAGTCATAACTTTACTAAGCCCAGCCTTCGATTACTTGTAGGTGCAGTGAGGCGAATATGAAAGTGCACATCTGCTCGGTGCAATCATTTCTTCACTTTATAGCACATTTTACATCTGACGCCGTCGCTGCAAAAATTGCCCCCGAGGTTTTTGCCGCGCAAGCGTTTGAAATTAATTATGCCCTCGCAGCGTTAAACGCAGTTCGCCGATGATTTGGTGGGAAAAACCCTTTGTACCTCGATTTTGAGCGTTTTCTTTTCAAGAGGAGGTGGCTTGAATTCTAGGTTTGGTGGTTTAATTATTGGTTTAATGGTTTAATTATTCCACCTATATTCAGACTTTTACTGTTCCAGTTGATACAGATTTTTTCGCTTGAACAAAGAGTTTTATCACGTAAAAAGGACTTCAGTCGTTTAGCCTCTCAACTACTACCTATTAAAATTAATAACCTTGAAACTTTTTTTCTTAATAAACAACAGACCATGAAATGAAACAAAGCAAAGCCAGATATATATTTCCGCACTTTTTTTTGCTATCGCTACGGAATGCGCAGAGGATCTGTAGCTTATTACGACAGTTAATTATTGGCGGAATAGCTAGGTCATCAAAGATGTGATTTTTATTGGAATAATTCTCGTTTACAAGACAGCTTTCCCTAAATTCCATACTTACA